CTCACAGCAACCTCCAACTCCTGGGCTCAAGCAAGTCTCCTGCCTCAGCCTCCCAAGTAGCTGGGACTATAGGCGCCTGCCACAACGCCCGGCCATTTTTTGGTTGCAGCCATCATTGTTGTTTGGTGGGCCCGGGCTGGGGATTCGAACTTGCCACCTTAGGTGTATGTGGCTGGCGCCTTAGCCAATTGAGCCACAGGCGCTGAGCCAGAGCTGGAGGCTTTTAACAGAGCCGCCAGAGTGAAAGGACTGGGGGTCTGTGCTCACTCAAGCAGTGAATATTGCAGAGTATCCAGGCAGCTTTCTGTGTGCTCCCTTCATCATTCACTGAGCTCTGTGCACCTGATGTGTGCCAGGGTACAGTGGGGTACCAAAGAGAAAGAGCTTTAGCTCAAGGCCCAGCGAGGAAAGACATAGCCAGCAACACAACAAGGTGATTTCAGATGGGGACAGGTTGTAGACAGAAGATCACAATATTTTCTGGAAATCACTGGGGTGGAAACACATTTGGCTGGGATCTGTGAGAAAACCCATAAGCCCTGAAGGAGAGCCCAGGGAGCCTATGTGGGCATGAGGCTGGGAGGGCTGGGGTAGCCCTGTGGAGCCTGGGGTTTGTTCTGAGCAGCGGGAGCCATAGGTGATCTGATGTCACCTAATGTGATCGATGTCTGAAAATCCTTACTCCAGTTTCTGCATGGAGGCTGCAAGGGTGGACAGCGTCCTGTGGGGGGACCCACAGGTGTGAAGTAACCTCCTGTGCTTCCTTTGTGGGCAGAGTCCCAGAGTGGAGGTGCAGGTTCAAAACTCAGAGCCCTGTACCCCATCCTGCCGAGTCAGACACCCTGGTCCTCAGTGGCCCTCCGCACTCCAGAACTTGAAGACCTCTGCTAGCCCACCACTACTTAAGCGTGCTCCCAGCATCAGGGTGAGTTAGAAATGCAAGCCTCAGGCCAGGTGTGGTGGCTCATGCCTGTGATCCCAGCACTCTGGGAGGCTGATGGGAGGATTGTTTGAGCTCAGGAGTTCAAGACCAACCTGAGTAAAAGCAAGACCCTGTCTCTACTAAAAATAGAAAAACTAGCTGGGTGTGGTGGCAAGTACCTATAGTCCCAGCTACTTGGGAGCCTGAGGCAGGAAGATTGCTTGAGCCCAGGAGTTTGAGGTTACTGTAAACTACAGTCACACCACAGGACCCCAGCTTGGGCTGCAGAGTGAGACTCTGTCTCACTAAAAAAAAAGAAAAAGAAGAAGAAGAAAGAAGGAAGGAAAGGAAAGAAGAAAGAAAAGAAAGAAGAAGCCTTAAACCTGTGCAGCCACCTGAGGAGCTGTGCCATGTCCCCTCTGCTCTGTCCTCTGGTTAGGGCAGCCCTCTCTCTCCCCTCCCTTTTGCTCACACACCACACAGTTAACACCCCCCCCCCACCCCAGAGGTGCACACAGACACCTCCAGGCTGCCACTGCCATGCAGGGTAAACGCCCAGCACCCAGTGCCTTGTCTCGCAGCTGAGGGTCCCTGAAGGACGGGCAGGCACTACATGCAGTTGCATTTGGTGAGAGATTACTGTGTACAGATTGGTATTTTAAGAAAATTAGCCTGATAGTGATGAGCAGGATGTCGCAAACACAGAACAGAGGAAGGCCCTGTGGGGCTGGCACGGGAGGGTAACAGTGGTCGTCCGTAGTGGAGGGACAGAGCACGAGCACTTTGCGCTTTGCCTTTTATATGGTCTGTCTCACTCTAAGTAGTCTGTAATGTGCAGCTGATATTTTTGCAGCCAGGATTTTAAAAAACCTGCCTAGACTCGGTGTGGGGTGGGTGCAGTACTGGGACAGCACAGGGGCAGTAAGAGACACCAGGGCCTGCTGCCAGAAGCATGGCACAGGACATTGGCATCGGGCTTCTGCTCATTATCTAGAACTGCATTGGAGCACCCCACCTGTCACTGTCAGGACAGTGCAGGCCCCGATGTGGAAGAGGGCCCTCGATAAAAGGTTATCAAAGCTGGCTGGGCAAGGTGGCTCACACCTGTAACCCTAGCACTCTGGGAGGCTGAGGCGGGGTAGATTGCCTGAGGTAACAAGTTCATGACCAGCCTGAGCCAGAGAGAGACCTCATCTTTTAAAAAAAGAGCTAGGCATTGTGGCAGGTGCCTGTATTCCCAGCTATTTGGGAGGCTGAGGCAAGAGAATTGCTTAAGCCCAAGAGTTTGAGGTTGCTGTGAGCTGTGACACCACAGCACTGTACCGAGGGCAACAAAGTGAGACTCTGTCTCAAAAACAAAACAAAACAAAATGGGTATTAAAGCTCACAGACTGGGTGCTGTGGCTCTCACTTATAATCCCAACACTTTGGGTGGCTGAAGTGGGAGGGTTTCTTGAGACCAAGAATTTGAGACCATTCTGGGCAACATAGCAAGACTCCATCTCTTTAAAAAGTCAAAAATTAGCTTGGCACGGTGGTGTACACTTATAGTACTGGCTATGCAGGTGGCTGAGGTGAGAAGATCTCTGGAACTCTGCACAGTGAGACATGACAGCGCAGCACTCCAGCCTGGGCTACTGGAGGAAAAAGCAAGTTCACAAAATAAGTATCACAATGGGGATAGAACGCCAAGTCTGGGTGGCTGGGCGGTTGAGGGTACTTTTGAAAGAAATATATGATTTGGGCTGGTGCTTAGTTTTGGAGGAAGAATCTGAGGTCGTTTTTAGGTTCCTGACTGTGTCATAACGATAAGGGAAATGTCAGGTTGTTACAACACACAGAGAAGATGAGAGGCTGGGGTAGAAGTAGAGGTAGTTTTTTATTTTGCAAACTAGAACTGGTCCTTCCTGAAGAAGCTGATTAACCATTCTCCATCCCTCGTGCTGGGGTCTTAGGGTGTCCTGGCACCTGGGGCTGTCCTAGTCTCGATTTTAGAGGCAGCTGGAACCTGTGCCCCAGTCAAGCCCCTCTGAGGTGCTGCGCGTTGCCCTGCCCAGAGCGGCAGTGAGAGCTGGCTGGCCCTGCGTCCTAAAGTGCACTTCCTGGGACTCTCAGTGGGGATTTGCCACCTGGATTTAAGGGCATATCCCATTTCATGAGATCCATAAAATGAGTTAGGTAAAAGAAGTTTTTGCTTAACATAGAAATTTCCTGAATTCAAATTCATGAGAGTATATGAGGCAAAGGTGTGTTACATCATGTTTTCTGGGAAACTTCTAGGGAGGAAGTTTCATGCTCTTTTCAAAACCACTGTTTTTTTCTTTTCCTCCAAAGAAAAATTATTTCACAGATAGGACAAAATAACTTCAAACAGTGAGTCTGCCTTGTAAAAAGAAAAAAAGTGTGTTAGAAACCCAGTGAGCCTGGGGTGTGACATGGAGTTCTGAGGTCTGCCAATAATGGGAGAGGTAAGTGGCCCAGAGACCCACACCTCTGCCCCATCCCCACTGCAGGCAGAGTTCAGAGTGGCCTCAAGGAGTGGAGCCCTCGTTTGTCTGGGGAGGACAATGTTTGTAGGCTTTACCTGGCTCTGTGCTTTTATTTCAGATCATCAGAAAAGCCCTCACTGAGGAAAAACGTATTTCAACAAAAACGTCAACTGCAGATCTTGTGACAGAAACGGATCACCTAGTGGAAGACTTAATTATTTCCGAGTTGAGAAAAAAGTTCCCTTCACACAGGTGGGTGTATTTGTCAGAGAAAACACCAGCAACACTGGCTGTGCTCCTAGAGGATGAGGGGGGTAAGGTCCTTCAAAGACATAGTAAACAAACGGACCCTGTTCTGTGCCCTTTTATTTACTATGAGACTGGGTTTCTGGACTGCAGAACAGCCTGGACTCAAACTCCTAGGCTCAAGTAATTTCCTACCTCAGCCTCCTGAGTAGGTGGGACTACAGGTACATGTCACACCTACTTGGCTAATTTTTAAATTTTTTTGTAGAGAAGGGGGTCTTACCATGTTGCCCAGGCTGATCTTAAACTCCTAGTCTTAAGTGATCCTCCAACCTTGGCCTCTGAAAATGGGATTTCAGGCATGAGCCACCATGCCCAGCCCTGTTTTTATTTATTTATTTTTAAATTTTATTTTGGGTTAATATGAGGGTATATACACTTAGGTTACTTTTTTTTTTTTTTTCTGAGACAGAGTCCGCTATGTTACTGTGTCACCCTCAGTAGAGTGCTGTGGCGTCACAGCTCCCAGCAACCTCAACTCTTGGGCTCAAGTGATTCTCTTGCCTCAGCCTCCTGAGTAGCTGGGACTACAGGTGCCTGCCACAACACTCAGATTTTTTTAGAGACAAGGTCTTGCTCTGGCTCAGGCTGGTCTCGAAGTTGTGAGCTCAGGCACCCACCTCAGCCTCCCAGAGTGCTAGGATTACAGGCATGAGCAACTGCGCCTGGCCTAGGTTACATTATTGGCATTCGTAAGGTAAAGCCCAAAACCTGATTTGCAGTTGAGTCCTTCCCCCAGGAAGGGTGTCATATACCCCTTCATTTTACCCAGTAGGTGGGAACTTACCCAGCCCCTTTTCCCCTTCTGGAATTTCTTGGGTTTTCCTCTCATGTGGGTATGTAGCTGTCTACCTACTATTTTCAGATTAGTGGTGAGCACATTGGATGCTTTTGCTTTTCCATTCTTCAGATACTTTACTCAAGATGAATGTTCTACAAATCCATCCAGGTAAATACAAAAGATGCAAAGTCTCCATCTCTTTATGGCTAAATAGTATTCCATGGGATACATATACCACCATTTGTTAATCCATTTGTGGGTTGATGGATACTTGGGTTGTTTCCACATCTTTGGGATTGTGAATTGAGCTGCTGTAAACATTTGAACGCAAATGTCCTTAGGGTAAAATGATTATTTTCCTCCTAGATAGATACCTACTAATGGGATTGCAGGATCAAATGGGAGGATTTTAGCTCTTTGAGGATTCTTCATACTTTTTTCCCAAGAGTCTGTATTACTTTGCAATCCCACCAACAGTGCATAAGTGTACCCCTGTCTCTGTATCCACAGCAGCATCTGCAGCTTTGGGACTTTGTGATGTGGGCTGTTCTCACTGAGATTAGGTGACATCTCAGGATCGTTTTCATTTGCATTTCTCTGATGATTAGGGACGATGAGCATTTTTCATGTGTCGTCCATTTGTCTGTCTTCTTAGGAAAAGGTTCTGTTCATGTCATTTACCCAGTGATTAATGGGGTTGTTTGTTCTTCTCTTATTGGTTTCCTTGAGTTCTTTACATCTTCTGGTCATTAGCCCTTTGTCCAATTCATAACTTGTGAATATCTTCTCCCATTCTGAGGGTTGTCTATTTGTTTATTGTGTCCTTAGCTGTGCAGAAACTTTTTAAGTTGATCAGGTCCCATTTATTTATTTTTGTTGTTGCCACAGTTGCCAATGGGGTCTTCTTCATGAATTCTTTCCCAAGGCTGATATTGTTAAGTTTTTCCCACACTTTCCTCTAGGGGTTTTATCCTTTCCTGTCTTAGATTGAAATCTTTTATCCACTGTGAGTTATTTTCTGTAAATGGTGAGAGGTGCAGGTTCAGTTTCAGTCTTTCACATGTGGCTAACCAGTTCTCCCAGCACAATTTATTGAATACAGTTTCCTTTCCTCAGCGATGCTTTTGTTTGGTTTGTTGAACTTTGTTTTTATTTGTATATATTATTAATACTGTTATCTTGACAGCCATCACGTAAAAATATTACCTTGCAAATACTGAAAAGGCTCTATCTTTTACAACACGTGCTCAGGGAAAGCTCCTGCTTCCCTGTACTAAGCCATTTATTATTTCTGGAGGGATTCAGAAGAAGCATAACACACCCAGATGCCTGTGGCTGCTTGGCTGTGTGCCAGCTTTCCCAGAGGGCTGGGGTGCAGAGTGACATGTTAGCTGTGGGGCCACAGACCAGGGCATGTGATAGGGACGGCTGGCACAGCTGAGCACCAGAACTCTCCTCCCAGAATGCCTCTGCAGGGATGCCACTCTCCCCTTTCTTTCTTTTGAGACTAGGTCTTGCTATCTTGTTCAGTTTGGCCTCACACTCTTGCACTTAAGTGATCCTCCCACCTCAGCCTCCTGAGTTTGCCATGTACTGTTTTCTTCTTTAAAGCAGAAGTTCTTAATCTTTGTGGTGTCACCCTGTGGAGAATTCAATCTTTTCCTCAGAAAAATTAAAATATTTACACATCATTTTGCATATAGTTCCAAGAGAGCCATAGACCCAGATTAAGACATCCTCTTTCGCTCTAGGGGGTTCTGAGGCCCCTCCCCCCTTCCTCCGTCCCACAACTTAAAAACAAGTACCTTGAAGCAAGGGTTTCTTTTCCTTCTTGTGTGGACTCTCTTAAATTGTTGGATTCCTAAAACTGGATACCGGTTATTGGATCTCTGGGCCTAAACTATTGTAGCTGACAGTTTGGGTTTCCATGGACTCAGGAGGCCAGCAATAGAACAGGGATCTCCCTCAGGGCCAGGAGGCACACGGTAGGTGCAGTATGTTTTTTCCCAAGATTGAAAATAAAAATGAAAGAATAAACCAATGTTACAAAGTTTAACCTCTTTTCTTCCTTCTGGAGAGAGCTCTCTGTTAGAGGGCTGTGTTTGTTTTGTTTTTGACAACCTGTGTGTTTGAGGCTCTCTTATTTTCTGTTTCCTTATTAGGTCTGAAGTCAGTGTCTGTGGCATCTGGAATAATATTTATAAGCTGTACAACTTTTTTAAACTTAATTTTACTTAAATGGCAGAGACAAACCAGCTATTTCAAGCTACTTTATTGCATGTTTTGGTTCGGAGGGTTCTGTGGCCATGGCCATGTGGCTGTGACAACAGAGGGGTAGCTCATCTGCACAGGGTCCCAGGCTAGGCACAGTGAAGTCACTGGGCTCTGGTGCATTAACTGGGTTACTGTACAAACAGCACTCTGAGATGCATCCCTGTTGTACCTGCTGGCACCACATACCAGTGGTTTGGCTCTGCTGTGCTTAAATACGTGGAGCCAGTTCCATTTGTAAAAGGTAAACTTAGATGCTCATTGCTGTGTGCACAGGTAAGCGTTAACAGACTGTGGATGAGCCCAGGCATCTCCACCTGTACCTGTAGTCTTAAGGCCCAGGACTACAGAACTCCAAGCCCCTTTGGAAGACCATCACCTAGAATATGCCCCTTAGGTAGGGCATGGCATGTGTTAGGCTCATCCGGGAGCTTCTCCAGTGGGCTGACACCAGGCCTCCATCTCTGAAACTGACCCCAAGAGAGTCAGATCCAGACACTTGTCCAGGAAACAGTAATCAGGAGCCTTGGTTCCAAAATACAGTCAATGAGGTAGTGTGGGCAGGGCTGTTGGGGCGGGACTTAGCTGCCCCACTGTTACCCCCGTGTCCCCACATCCCTGGCTCTGACTGCGAACCCTGGGCCAAGGTGAAAGCTGGCCTGTCCCCTGCTCAGTTTGCCTCAAAAATTCAGACCAACAAAATCCTTTTTCAGGGTTAAAAATAAAGTACTAGAATCTCAGGCATTAAATTGTTTTAGATCATGGACATACTGATAAATTTGCAATGAGAAAAAAATTACATACATACTACAAATAGAGTTCTATTTAAAAAGTTGGAAAAATTACATACATACTACTTATGCACCGACAGCCCACCTTTGTGCAGGCATACTGCAGGGTGCCAGCTGGTGGGGGAGGGGGGTATTCTCGCTCAGGTGGGCCAGAACTATTTGTCGGTGCATAAATAGTATGTATGTAATTTTTCCAACTATTTAAATATAACTCTAAGGAGTACGTTTAAGATAAAGTTGTCCATCATCCTTTCTTTGAAAAGACTTATTCTGAGCTTTTGACTTTCCTTATTTTTAGTTTTTTCTGAAACTGTCAAAAATAGATTGTAATTGTTATAGGATTTTTTGTTTTGTTGGGTTTCTTTAAGACAGAGTGTCACTCTATCACCCTGGGTAGAGTGCTGCAGCATCATAGCTCACAGCAACCTCAAACTCTTGGGCTCAAATGATTCTCCTGCCTTAGCTTCCTGAGTAGCTGGGACTATAGGTATACATCACCACACCTGGCTAGTTTTTCTATTTTTAGTAGAAATGGGATCTTGTTCTTACTCAGGCTAGTCTTAAACTCCTGAGCTCAAGGGATCCTCCCTTCTCAGTCTCCCAGAGTGCTAGGATTATAGATCTGAGCCATTCCACCTGGTCTGTTTTGTTTTGATAAAATAAAAATTAACGTGATACAGGCTCCCTCATTTTATCTTTTTATTTTATGCATCTGTGAAATCTAAATTTTGGGTCCCTGACCTGGAAGACAGGCATAGACCAAATCTGAGAATAGTTAAGGTTTAGACTTGCTGCTGCCTGTGGCCCTAGCAGGTTTGGCTAATTGCTGCTCTTCTCTGAATGAAGGACCTGATTAAGGTTCTCCCTACAACCCCAGCATCTGACTCCAAATGCACTGTGGTCATGACAGAAAGCAGCCAGCAAAGTAAGGTCAGGGTTTATAGGTTGGGTCTTGGGGTTTATTGGGTGTCTCAGCCTGTCTGCAGTAGTGATTTTGAGTTAGATCCAAATGTAGCTACTCTGAAAATATTCTGTAGCTTCTCCAAAAATATTCAGTAGCACAGCCTTGTTGCCTTGTCAAAGGCTGTCTGTGTTTGCTCATTTAAAGGACCTGGCACAGCAGCCTCCACCTGGGCCAGGACACCCCCCTCCCCTACCAGCTGGTACCCTGCAGTATGCCTGCACAGAGGTGGGCTATCAGTGCACAAGCCCCCCAAGATGCCAGACAGTATCCTTGAAATGGTAAACACATTCCCAGCCACCACCAGCTAGACATTGGCTTCCTATTGCTTTGTGCTGGGCTCTTGTGTCACCTTCAGGCAGGAACCTAAGCGACAGTTGGCAGGGACAGCCACTTCGTAGACCGATCCTGACCTTGTCACAGAGTAAACAGACTAAGTAGCCAGAAAAAATCTTAGAGGTATTTGACTGTCAAATTACGAGGAGGGCCAGACATGGTGGCATGTACCTGTAGTCTCAGCAACTCAGGAGGCTGAGGCAGAAGGATCGCTTGAGCCCAGGAGTTTCAGACCAGCCCAGGCAACATGGAGAATACCCTGTCTCCAAAAAAGAAAAAAAGAAACACGGAATAAAATGAACAAAACTTACAATAATAGTTATTATAACTATTATTTTTATTTATTTATTTATTTATTTATTTATTTTTCGAGACAATGTCTCACTTTGTCACCCTTGGTAAAGAGCTTTGGTGTCACAGCTGGCAGCAACCGCCAACTCTTGGGCTTAAGCGAGTCTCCTGCCTCAGCCTCTCAAGTAGCTGGGACTACAGGCACCCGCCACAATGCCCAGATATTTTTTGTTACATTTCTCATTGCTGTTTTAGCTGGCCAGGGCTGGGTTTGAACCTACCACCCTTGGTATATGGGGCCGGTGCCCTATCCACTGAGCCACAGGCACCATCTACAACTATTATTTTTTAAAGGAAAGTGGTTAAATTAGGCAGTGCAATGTGTTATATCATTCTAACTTGTTACCAAACTTTTAACCTTAACCTGGTTGCTATTTTCCTTTTGCCTGTCAGGCTAATGAAATGTTCTTTTTGCTCCCTAAATTTAGTCATGTGCATTGTTCTTCTTTATTTGTGTTATGGATTTATGTAGATGTTCAGAAGATGGCTTGTACAAAGGCCTCAATTATCTCACACTGACCACTGTCTGGGTGACTTGTGCAGGGTGGATTGTACCTGCTCCCCTGCTATAGAGTGTTCTCTCCCATTCTGTAGGTATCAGCTTCTTACATGAAGGAAATCAGGTTTAAGTAAATGAAAATTGCATGTCCTTCCTCATATGCAAGGGAAATATTTTTGGTGCCCCTGAAGACCAGACGTGGTGGTCTGTACCTCTGCTGCCTTCAGAGGTGTGAGGCCTGGAGGGCCTGAGGGTGCTTTTCCATTGTTCAGGTAGGCAAGTGGGCTAATGAGTGGAGAGCACAAAGGTGGGCAAAGAGGAAGAAAGTCCCAGGGCATGAACGGTCAACTGCTGAAAAGCCCAGCATTCAGAGTGGGCACTGAGGTATTCCCATCAAAAATGTCTTGCAAACCTGGATGGAATGAAACACATTGTCCTTAGTAAAATATCAAAAAATGGAAAAGCAAGTATCCAATGTGTTAGTTCGATACTAACATGAAGCCAGTAGATGAGTTAATACACACACAAGAGAAAAATTCAATTCAATTCAAGTTGTGGGGGAGGGCAGAGGAAGGAGAGGGATTGGTGAGCTCCCACCTAATGGGCACAACGTAAGGGTATATAACACACCTCTTAGGTGTGGGACACACTACAACAGGAGCCTTTCCTAACAAGCCCAAACATTGTAACCTAATCATCAGTACACTCATATTAATCTGAAATTTCAAAACTAAAATAAAGCTTTAAAAAGAATGTCATGGAGACCAGTCTGAACAAGAGCGAGACCCCATCTCTAAAAATAGCCAGGTGTTCTGACAAGTGCCTGTAATCTACTCAGGAGGCCGAGGCAAAGAGGATCACTCAAACCTAAGAGTTTGAGGTTGTTGTGAGCTAGGATGCTACAGCACTCTACCCAAGGTGATAGAGTGAGACTCTGACTCGGGGGAAAAAAAAAGTCATGCCTGCCGGGTCAGTGGCTCACGCACTCTGGAAGGCCTAGTGGGAGGCTTCCCTGCTGAGCCCAGGAGCCTGAGCGTGTAGACAGGAGCACTGTGGTACTGCCATGAAGATGCACTGCTCAGCGACCTGCAGACGGTGTCCCACAGACGGTGTCCCACACATCTGGCAGATGGATAAGCAGCTTACAGCCCTGAGCATCCTGAAAAGCCTCTCAGTGTTCTGGGTGGATGGCCTGAGTGCCACTCAGGTGGGGTGGGGGATGACCTGGTGCTAATGCCTGCAGACTCAGGCTCCCTCCTCCCCAGAGCTGCCCTCCAGTTTCTCACTTGAAATCAGATTGAAAAGAGAAAGCATGTGCGCTCCTTCCGGCTTCCTGGGCCCTCACCCTTGCACATGACTCTTTCTCTAGGCCCTTTTGTATTGAATCTTATCTTTTTACTGTCTTGTCAGCTTTGCGCCCAACTCAAGCTTTGAAACCTACTCCTTGTATGTGTATGTTTCAGGGTGTGGGCCTTTTCTTTAAAAGCTTAATTCCAAGTCATTCAGGGGAGGAAAATCACAAAGCCACAGAAGACACCCTTGAGTGTCTCTCCAATTTATTTATCCTAGGAACCGAGGGGCTGTGAGAGTGCAGAACACATAGCCCATGAGATGGAGTGTGTCCAACTCATTTATGCTAGGGACCAAGCAACTGTGAGAGTGCAGAGCCCTCAGTGAACTGGGTGCAGGGCAGGACATGTACTAGGCGCTCTCTGGGTGCTGAGCATCAGCCTCTGTGCTCTAGCTGTAGTTTTTTTGACCCCCAAGGGCTTCCTGTGTAATGGGTTCACCCAAGGGTGAGCAGGGGCCAGCCCCAAAGGGGTGAATTGCAGAGGGCAGGCTGCAGCACACCTCTGACCGTCGGGAGAGTCCCTTGCCCAGGTGCTGTCCTGAGCAGTGGGGTGCTGGTGATGCTGTTGGCTAAGGCAGGGGCAAGTGGAGGACACCAGGAATTCTCTTCTGCACAAGTCAGTATTGAGATGGCGGTTGTCTTGGTCACCTCATGGAATAGGTGGCATGCTCAGATGAGGATGGGCTGGGGATGTGTTTATAGAGGGCTTTTTTTTTTTTTGAGACAGAGTCTCACTATGTCACCCTGGGTAGAGTGCCATGAGCTACGGGCACTGGGCCTGCAGAGGGCTTCTTATAAATAAGGGGCTGTGGGAGCATTCCCCAAGGAGCAGTGTGTCAGGGAGGCCATGGGCAGCAGGGAGGACTCCATAGACAGGGTGTGTTCCAGCCCCACTCTGTCCCCCTGACCCTGCATGGCTCCCAGTCAGGAGACCAGGGCTGGGAGGGGCTGCTGTCACCTGTATTTGCAGTTCTAGGAACAGACCTGGGAGGCATCAGCTGCAGGTGACATTTAAGCCTTCAGTGCCCAGGTCCCAGCACTACCTGGAGGAGAGGTGAAGTGGAGTCCTGGGCCCACCCTCATTGCACTGCACTCAGTGTCTCTCCGCCTAACTCCTCCCAACAGGTGTCCTTCACTCCTCCCTGCCTGGCCCACTCACATTCCCTGGTGCTCTTCTGGAACCTGTTGATGAGGCTTTCTAAACCCATTACACAGGTAGCCTGAGGGACAGGTGGACAAGCAGGTGTCTTCCCCAGATACACTGCCTTAATGAGATCCTTTAACAGCAGCTCCTTTCCCAGACGGAACTGGAGGAGCTGTCAGGTGCACTGTTCTGTGCATGTTCCCTCAGCCTGGGCTCCTCCACCACAGGTTCATTGCAGAAGAGGCTGCAGCCTCCGGGGCCAAGTGTGAGCTCACCCACAGCCCCACCTGGATCATCGACCCCATTGATGGCACCTGCAACTTTGTGCACAGGTAGGCAGTAGCAGGGAGCACCTCCATTGTAGGGCGTGACAGTTCCTCTGTAAGTTTTCATCCATTACAGGATTTGACACATCTTCTGTAAGTTTTCGTCTTTCAAAAGCAGCATTTTTAAGGCAGGATTATATAAACAAACTTATAGTTGGTTTATAGTCTTACTAAAAACATGATTACATCTTCATATGTCTAAAATGAGGTTTTTCATTTGTGCGAGGCTCTCAGAGTGTATACTTGTCTAAAAGTTGTTTTCTTATGTTGATATGTTGGGTTACATTTAAGAAAGACCACCTCAAGGAGTCCTTTGGAGAAGCAGGCAGGGTTAGAATCTGAAGCCTGTGCCAATGAGCAGTGGCAGCGCCTGAGGCAGAGAGTAGCACATGATAGATGAGATCCAGGAGCCACTTTGTGTGTGCATGGAAGCAAACCTTGTGATTACAGAAAGCAGGAGGTTTAGGGAGGCTAGTGGGGCCTAGGTGTATGGAACAGAGCTAAGCACTGGGAGGCACTAGGGTAGGGAGGAAACAGGGACACTACTACAGGCCCTCTCTGATGTCTGGGCAGGTGATGGGCCTGCGGGTGCCTGTCCAGGGCCATGCACAGGTGGCTGAGGGCTCAGGACATGGAGTGTCTGTGGAACAGGGGGTGGTCCTCTGACTTGAGTGTGCTAGGAGCCCTGCAGAGATTCCCATTCTGTGGGGCAGGTGGCCCAAGGCTCACGGTTCTTACAGGCTAATGGCCACAGGCTGCCACTGCCAGCCCACAGGCTGTGCTGAGGGAACATTTGAGCAGAGCTGGGGTGCGGGTTCCTCCTTCTTGGTGTTATCCTTTGTTTTTTGTCTAATGCTATGTTTATATGTAAAGCAATTCTGAGAACCATGTTAGTAAAGCCTTTTTATAGGTGAGGGACACCTGGAGAAAGGACTCATCCTGATGAGTCAAGAGACTCACAGGGACAGCAGAATCCTCCGAAAAGGTCAGGCCCCTGTGGCAATCTGACCCTTCTGAGGCAATCAGTAGCGCTGCCTGATGCCAGTCACCCTGTCACCAGGTTGTCATTTCAACTGAAGCATGACCCCTCCCTGGGGTCCCACCAGGTGAGTGTCCCAAGGGCAGCACCCATCACCCTGCCCTGCTTGTCACTGCACCCTGCTCACAGTAAAGGCCGCATGTCCATCTGAGGGTCCTCCTGTAGTAGCAGAGCCAGTTTCCAAAATTCCCCTCCCTGCAGCCTTTGGGGGGCATGGGGCCTGGCAGACCGTTTGGAGGATAGTATCAATTTCAAAACAGACTCTGAGCAAGGGCATGCTGGAGCCCCAGGTGCAGGACGAGAAGGAGAAAGGCTCCCAAGTGTCACTCCTGGGGCAGCCACCTGGGTTGGGTCCTATGCGCTGGTTCCTTGTTTTTCCTGTAACCCTGTAGTGCCCAGCCTGGCCACATCCCTGTCTGTCTGTGACCTCTAATTACCTTCACATAAAGGATGGTCATCATAAAGCTAAGCAGGACACACACATGGTGCTGGTGTTGCCACAAGTGGCCTATAGCAGAGAGCTGTCCCCATTGGGGGCTGTGGCAACTGCCATGCCCTACCTGGGACAGGGGCCTGACCTTTTTGGAGGATTTTGTTGTCCCTTTGAGTCTCTTGAGAACCAGGATGATTACTCAAGTCCAGATTGGGTGTCACAGGGTCAGTGTTGAATTACATCAGTCTCACACAACTTTCAAGGTTAACTGTCTTACTACATGATCAGCTATGTCTGTGTTGGAAGCAGGTGGTGAAGCTCTGGGAAGTAGTTTTTAAAATGAGCCCACCAGGGTGTAGGAATACCCTTCTGTGCCCAGCGGGGCTCGTGAGGCCGCCTCCTGTTTGAGATGCACAGAGTTCTCTCTCCCTTTGCAGGTTCCCTGCCGTGGCAGTCAGCATCGGCTTTGCTGTTCACCAAGAGGTAGGCGGTGTGGCCCAGTCCCTCCGGGCCCTCATCCTTCCTTCCCATTCAGCCCCTTCCTCTTTAGCTTTCTATTCTACCATGACCGGGAGATCGAAGTCTGGTTCCCAAATCTAGAAGTGAGGAAGCACAAACTGGTTTTGGGGTGTGTAGGTGTGGGGTTCCACTGCCAGCCCTCACCCCTGTGGGTGGCTGGCCCTGGCTTCTGCACAGCCTTCTCAGGACACTGCTGTGGAAGCCAAAGTTCCAAGTTAGCCTCAGTCCAGGTCTGTCTCCAGCTGACCCCTAGAGCGTGTGATCTAGTCATAAACAAAGAGGAACTCCTATTTTTGGAGAACGTTTTTAATTCCAAATGAGTTCTCTGTCTTCCTCTGGCTGTCAGTATGAGAACGAGGCTCTTTTAAGGTTCTCACAGACCTCCTGAACTCCTGGTCAGGGCCTGCATGGAAGGCGTGGGGCTGAGTTGGGCTCCATTCGCCACATCAAGCAGTAACACTTGGAAGAACCTCCACTTCTCCATAGTCAGCTTCTCCATGGTCAGTTCCAGCTACATGGGGCCGCGAGCAGATGCCCCCCAAACACCCTCCTTCAGGTAGCATTTGTTTCTTTCAATTCTATCTCAGCATAGGCCCCCTGGCATTCGGGCTGAGAGAAGTTTACACCCATCTCAGAGTACCCATGTTGAAGACAAGTAAGAATTTTAATACTGAGATCTGGGTAAGGACTAATGGCTTGCTTGTTTATCTGCTACATACATGAAACCCTGTGGGTGTCTCTACGCTGACAGGGGAAGGTTGGCTGGTCCTGGCCCCTCTGAGGTACGCTGTGTCAGTTCCGTGTTCCCAGTGACTCAGCAGGGAAGTGCTCCCTATCGTCCCAGGTATGGGGCCAGGGCAGCCCCTGAAGTCTGGGGCCCCTCACAGGTACTTAGCAATTAGCATAATTCTAGGATTGACATGGATTTACAGATCCTTTTAAAGCTAGGATACAGGAAAGAAGGAGAATAGTAGTTAAGTATTCCTAGAAAACTGTGGGCTCTCAGTGAGTTGCCTGGATGATGCCCCTCTCCCAGAAATCAACCCCTTTTCTGTAGGTTGGGGCATCTATCAGGGCAGCTCAGCCCAGGGCTGGCCAATGCTTTCCCAAGGCATCTGGCCTGAGTATTCCATTTTCCAGAGAACTGGATACTGGGCTAACCCCCAAACCAAGCACACCTGCTCACCCAGAGCAGAGGAAAGCCAGAGAGGAAAGATGACGATGATGCACATGCATCGTTTTCACACTGACCCCTTCATTCTGCCATTTCTGCTTGGGAAGCTGTCACCTGGTTACAGCAGCAAGGCTGATGATCAGTGCTCTGCCACTCAGGATAAGTCCCACACCCTTAGTGGGTCATTTCTCTTTTCCCAGGGCTGTCCTTGGGTTTTTGTGGTTTTGTTGACTTTACTGATGGGTTCCTCACTCTTCACACATCAGCAATTTTGGAGATGTCTTTCCAGGTTTGGTTAGAGTCACAGGCAACTTTGTTTTTCCAGTAAAAAAAGAGCTTTCTAAAGAATTAAGCTTTTTGACTGGGCTTGGTGGCTCACACCTATACTCCTAGCACCCTGGGAGACCAAGGCAGGTAGATTGCCTATGCTCAGGAGTTCGTGACCAGCCTGAGCAGAGCTAAAAAAGAAAAACTAATCTGGCATAGCAGTATATGTCTATAGTCCCAGCTGCTCCAGAGGCTGAGTCAAGAGGCAAATTCTTGCTGAAGCCCAAGAGTTTGAGGTTACCATGAGCTATGATGCCATGGCATTCTACTAAGGGTGACAAAGTAAGACTCTGTTCCTCCCCCCTCCCCCCAAAAAATAAAGAAAGAATTAAGCTTTTCAAATAACTTTTGGTTACTAATGCCTATGATATTAATCATTAAAAAGCTAAATAATTAGTCTTTTTTTTTTAGAGTCAGTCTCACTTAGTCACCCTCTGTAGAGTGCTGTGCTGTCACAGCTCACAGCAACCTCTAGCTCTTGGGCTTAGGCAATTCTCTTGCCTCAGCCTCCTGAATAGCTGGGACTACAGGTGCCTGCCACAATGTCTGGCTATTTTTGTTGTGGTTGTTGTTGTTGTTGTGGTTGCAGTTTGGCCGGGGCCGGGTTTGAACCTGCCACCCTGAGTATATGGGGCACCCTACTCACTAAGCAACAGGCACTGCCCAATAATTAGTCTTAATATATTTTAAAATGTAGTTATTTAACAAAATAAAACTTTATTTCATGTCTAGGTCTAATTTTAAATCTAGGCACTGATTTTTTTTCTGTTCCTTTTTGAAAGGTAATTGCAGTCTCATCATCATTGAGTTAGTCTTAACACCTAGACCAGCCATCATTTTTGAATCACTGTTTTCTCCATGTCAAATGAATGCTTCCTATCCCCTCTGTACCACAGCTTGAATTCGGAGTGATTTACCACTGCATGGAGGAGCGGCTATACTCGGGCCGGCGGGGCCGGGGCGCCTTCTGTAACAGCCAGCGGCTGCAGGTCTCCAGAGAGACAGGTGGGCCTTCCTGGGGCTTGGCTTACTTCATTTCTGATGGAGAAGTGTGAGTGGAAAGTGCCAGAGTCACCACCATGAGGGACGGTGGTGGGAACCTCCTGCCAGTGCTTCTGTCTCCTCTAGGCACATCGTGTCCCTGAAAGACTGGAAGTTGAGCCAGCTCCCTGTCTTGATATGCTGGAGAGTGTGCCAGAAGCCTTCAATAGTATCATTCTGCTCTGCACTCAGCATCCTTCACCTTTAAGGTTGAAAGAAACTGTTTGCCAGTTAGGACTCGGCCTGGTGAGACTGGATGAGCAATCCAAAGGCGAAGGACAGGCAGAAGTGTGCTGGAGCCCTCGGAGCACCCAGGCACACCCTGGTGCCACTGATATCCCCTTGTTGTGTGGCTCAGGTGCAGTCTGAGGCTCCTTGAGTGTGCTAGGGGTATGCAACCTTTTCTTTCCTATTGCACATTAGAAGAGCTGTCTTGGGCCTCATAGTAAATACACAAACACTAACAAAAGCTGATGAGCAAAACAAGGTCTGTGCATACTTTTCGTGATATCTGACACCACAGATAAGGAAAACGAGTCCTCACCAAAATCAGCATGTGGCTTCAGTGTATGTGAGAAGACTTCCTCGAAAATGAACCATGTAAACAAGGGGTCTTCCCACGCACCTCAGGCCCACCACTGTGGCCATGGCCTGCCCTTACTGTCCTTAGAGCAGAACCTCAAGGACACCCAGCAGCTTTTAGAAAGGGGCTGCTGGCCACGCACAGTGGCAGGCACCTAGAATCCCAGCGCTGTGGGAGAACTACCAAAGCTGCAGTGAATCATGATGTCACTACACTCCAGCTGGTGACAGAGTGAGACCCTGTCTATAAAAGATGGATGGATGGATGACAGGTCAGAAAGGAAAGGAAGAAGGTGCTGCTGTTGCACTCATGCTGCCAGTGACCACACATGACTGCCTGTCATTAATAGCAGGACCGTTTAGGGGTTCCCCCGCTCTTTTTGGCCTTTCTTCCCAGTTGATTAAGACTATTGCATTGTGAGATAGGACCTGTAGGGGACAGAAATGCCAGGTAGGAATACAGGGAAGAGCCCCAGGCTGGAAACAACTGGATAGGAAGACTTTAAAACTTCCATAATGTCCGCATGTCTGGGTCTGAGAGGATAGAGAACACAGTTCCACCGATTTCTGTAATACTCTGCCTGTTTTTGAAGCTGGACATCCCAGGTCCCTCCTGCCCCTGGTTCTGTCCATCTGCTGACGGTCAAGTCTACCCCCACTTGTTTCCAGGCTTCCTTTTCAAAATGCCTTTCCGAGCACCCTTCCCTCATCGAGTCTTCTTCTCTGGCTGACTCTGTTGCCCTACTGGCCTCAAAGCAGGGAGAGGAGCCAGGGAGGCTGGGGCAGACCCGCTATCAGGAGAGGGCACACTGGTGAGGGGCAGGATTGGTGATGCTGGACAGGACAGGACAGGAGGCCATAGAAGCCCCGCGAGCTGGGCCAGGCAGGCAGAGTGCACAGGTCTCCAGGAGCACTGCCAGGCCCCACCTCTGCACCAGGAGATGGCACAGCCTCCAGCACCTCTTCTCCCTCTCTGGAGAGTTTAGTTGTCTGAGTGAAAAGCAGTGTTAATTATAGCTCTGGTGCTGAGAGGTGCCCACTCAGGTCTAATTGTGCAACGCAGCGGGGAGGAGGCATGCTGCTGAGCCCAGCGAACTTTGCTCCATATTTCCTGGGTTCTAACACTGAGCTCTATTCACACTGCCCTTCCTGCTTGGCCCCACACTTAGTCCTGCATCAGTGGGGGCCTACTCCCTCACATGGCCCACCTGAACCCCCAGGAACTTCACAGAACAAAGGAAGCAACAGGCTCAGCCTGGTGGCGTGTATCACTCAGGCCTGACAGTCACATCCCCTCTGCACAAGTGTGTCTTGGCGGCTACTTCTCTCCAAAGAGCCCATGTTCTAAAGCTCATTTGCAGGTTTTTAAAAATTCTGGCAGACAAGATGCAGTGAGTTGCTTTCAACCCTGCTCATTTCTTTTGTATGGGTGACTGGAATTCCATAGGAGGTGACAGATTAGACTCTAGCATCAGGGTTGTCACCAGGCAGGCCAGATTTCAGATCCTGATTCTGCCACCTTCCAGGGCAACTGGAACTTGAGCAAGTTGGTTAACCTTTCTAAGCCTTAGTCCTCGTGTTTAAAATAAGGATGCTGATGATAAGAGTCACTGAAGATGAAGCAGTTCTATGCACAAAGCCCCCCAGCACCTGATACTGAGCATCCAAAAGTAAGAGCTGTTGTCAAAGGAGAAATGGGAGTCCTTTGCACAAGACCAGTCAAGTCACGACTTGTTAAAATCAGGGTATGTTTCCAGAGGATACCTCTGTTAAAACCACCACTACTGGCTCGGCGCCTGTGGCTCAAGTGGCTGAGGCGCCAGCCACATACACCTAAGGTGGCGGGTTTGAATCCAGCCCGGACCCGCCAAACAACAATAATGGCTGCAACCAAAAAATGGCCGGGCATTGTGGCGGGCGCCTGTGTCCCAGCTACTTGGGAGGCGGAGGCAGGAGACTCGCTTGAGCCCAGGAGTTGGAGGTTGCTGTGAGCAATGAAGCCATAGCACTCTACCCAGGGGGAGAGCTTGAGGCTCTGTCTCAAAAAAAAAAAACCACCACTACTACTAATCCCGTCTCTACTGCTCTGGCCTCCTTTATTTATCACTCCTTTCTGGAATGTTGTCAGCTCACAAACTGGAAAACAAACAAACAAACAATCTACACTTGCTGGAGTAAAGGATTAGATGAGGTCCAGAATTACGTTAGTAGCTGCTGCTTCAAATTCTACCATGCAACATTTCAGACATACACATATTAGGCAGGAAAGTACAGTGAAACCTATGGCTGTGACACAGCAACAACACTCAGCAACTTCGGCCAGACCCCACCCCCAACTCCCTGCAAATCCCAGACATCAGCTGACTTGCTAGTCAGTATTTTAGGACACATCTCCAAAACATGCTGACTTTTTAAATTTCTTTTTATTTTTTTTTTTTTTTTTTTGAGACAGAGTCTCACTTTGTTGCCCTCCAGAGTGCTGTGGCGTCATAGCTCAAGCGATTCTCTTGCCTCAGCCTCCTGAGTAGCTAGGATTACAGGTGCCTGCCATAATGCCCGGCTATTTTTTAGAGTGGGGGGGGGTCTCACGCTACCTCAGGCTGGTCTTGAACTTGTGAGCTCAGGCAATTGGCTCGCCTTGGCCTGCCAGAGTGCTGGGATTACAGGCGTGAGCAATTGCGCCCAGCTTCTGACTGTTTTTTTTTTTAAATCATAAAACCAGTGTTGTTCCCTACCAAAAATTAATCATTCCTGAAGTCATTACATCTCTAGTCAGTGTTCAATTTTTCAATGGCCTCTTTATGGAAAATGGTCTTCTGAGGGCATAGTCAGGGTTCTTGGGGACTTACTGCTCCCGAAGGGTTGGTCTTTGTTACTAGACCTGTTCAATGCACTCAGCTAGGAAATCAGTTGCTATTTATTTATTTATTTGAGACAGAGTCTCACTTTGTCACCCTTGGTTGAGTGCTGTAGCATCACCGCTCAGAGCAACCTCAGATTCTTAGGCTCAAGCAATTCTCTTGCCTCAGCCTCTCAAGTAGCTGGCTGAGACTACAGGTGCCCTCCATAATGCCAGGCTATTTTTAGAGACAAGGTCTTGCTCTGGCTCAGGCTGGTGTCGAACTTGTGAGCTCAGGCAATCCACCTACCTCAGCCTCCTAGAGTGCTAGGATTACAAGTGTGAGCCACCTTGCCTGGCCATGAGTTGCTTTTTAGATATAAAGTTCATCATGAGTTGTGCTGATGTTTTTTATTCAAATTCATGACTACAAGCTTTTCTCTTTAACTCTGTATGTCTCTTTTCCCCCATGCTAAGAACCCTAGTTCACAGAGACTCCAGGGACAATCAAAGTCATCGTAGCATACAGTTACTTATTTGCTTTAGACCCACAATGCACATTTACCAGTTTCAGACTAACAGTATGAGCCCTGCTATCAACAGATGATTACTGAAAATAGTTCAAAGAGCATTTAACTTTGTTTTGTTTTGTCTTTTTGGGCTTAGTGCCTCTCCTACTGCAATGTATAGTCAGGTCACTGTGAGGGTCACCAAACTTAGTCCTCTGGGGTCCTTGTTATGCCACCAACTGAGGATGATCATTTAGATATGTTTGTTTTACTTTAGTTTTAACTTGGAGGGATTACTTTTTGAAAATTTGATTTTATTTGGCAATTATGTAAAAATAAGCACAATATTCCAAAGTCAAATCTGTAAAGTATATCCAGAGAGCTTTAGCTTCTTTTTTCTCCCAACCCTCCTCTCTCCTTGCCCCACAGATAACCCCAAGAAATTTAATTCTAGGGCTGGGCACAGTGGCTCATGCCTGTAATCCTAATACTCAGCGATGCCTAGGGGAGTGGATTGCTTAAGCTCAGGAATTCGAGACCTGCCTGATCTAGAGTGAGACCCCTGTCTCTACATAAAATAGAAAAAAAGAAATTTAATTTTTAGAGACGAGGTCTTGCTCTGGCTCAGGCTGGTCTCGTACTTGTGAGCTTAGGCAATCCGCCCACCTGGGCCTCTCAGAGTGCTAGAATCAAGTAGTAGTTTCTTAAAGGTTGGTTGAAATGTGAAATTTAACTCCACAGCAGTGGGTTTTTTGTTTCTTTGTCACATTGAGATGCCTTGGGCTGTCCTATACTTTGAATAAATCTTTTGTATGAAGTTTTGTAACTTCATACATTGGACATTGGGAAATGGGTTCACTGGTATTTCCAGCTCTTCCTAAGATTGACATACTTCCTTATAAAATACAGAAAAGTGTCATGCTCGTTAATATCACCACTCTTCTCCGGAGAAGTCAAGCATCTTGGGACAGTATCAAGCTTATGGTGATAGATACAAGTTTTCCCAAATTCTAATTTCCACTTAAAAGCTTGAA